ATCCTGCAGAATACTAAAAAGGTAAAGGTTTCCCCGACAGTAATGTCTGACTCTAGGGCATGGTGCTCATCTCTGTTTCTTGCCTGAGGGAGCCTGTGTTGGTCCAAAAACAATTTCCATCATCATGTGGCCAGTATGGCTATATGCCAAGGGGCCAGGAATGCTGTTACCTTCCCACCAAAGTGGTACCTATTAATCTACTTGCATTTGAGTGCTTTTGAACTGCTAGTGGCAGGAGCTGGGGCAAGGAACAGGAATTCACCCCATTGCACTGAGCTTAGGTCTTGAACTTGGACTCAAGAAACTCAGTGTCTTTAACTACTGAGTCATAATGCCTCAAAACGCTGAGTTCATCAAAACAGGGCAATGGGAAAATTTAAATCCCTTTACCTTTAAATCCCTTACCATCCACCTCCATGTCAGGAAAAGACAAGTGGACCAATGGTGGGTTTCAAAATTTTTTACTATCAATTGTATGGTTTGGTGGGTGTGGCATGGCTTGGTGGGCGTGGCTTGGTGGGCGTAGCACGGGAAGGATACTGTAAAATCTCCATTCTTACCCCACTCCAGGGGAAGGTTACTGCAAAATTTCCATTCCCCCCCCACTCCAGGGGAAGGATACTGTAAAATCTCCACTCCCTCCCCAATCCAGGGGAAGGTTGTTGCAAAATCCCCATTTCCTCCCAATCAGCTGGGACTTGGGAGGCAGAGAATAGATGGAGGCGGGACCAGTCAGAATTTTTACTACTGGTTCTCCAAACTACTCAAAATTTCCGCTACCGGTTCTCCAGAACTGGTCAGAACCTGCTGAAACCCACCTCTGAAGTGGACCCATGGTTTTGAGAGACGGTTGTTCTTTGCAGTTGCCTCATTGCATTCTTTGGCTTTTAAGGTAGTAAGACCTTTTCTGAATGGGAGAAAACAAGGGATGGATATGTTTGTTTGTTTGTAAATAGATGATAGAACAAAAACCTACATATGAGAACCCATAACAGAGTAAGTAGATATGTGAAAAAGATCATCACAATGTCTTACTTTGAAGGAAACCTTAGAAGCACCTAAGTTACCTTAGAAACACCTAAGACATCTTTAGAAACACCTAAACATATAGAAGATAGAAGCTGTTGATAACCTTAAATATAACTAAGCTCTTACTTTGAGGGGAACCTTAGAAATGCCTAAGACACCTTTAAAAACCCTGTAATATCTAGGAGATAGAAGCTGTATAGAAAAGCTGAAGAGCGGAAAAGAAATGAACAATTGTGAGATAAATGGAGCTAGGTTGCCTATTGTCTATCCTTTAGCGGTCGCTAGATGATCAAGCTGTATGCACTTCTAACCTTGCAAAACTTCTGAAAAATTTCATATTTTCTACAGTGTAAATTAAAACCCTTTTATTGAGCAATCGATTTAGGACCTGTGCTTCCTTAATGGCAGGCACCAGCACTTTTTCAGTAACACGGTAAATGCTTTTTGTCCCTGACTGACGGCATTAAAGGCTTTCATTGCAAAACACCTTGAATTTGAGGGTAACTGCAAAGGAATAAAAGGTTCAAACTCTTCAAGTGTCATTAAATGAAGAATCTTGTTTTCTGGACTGGCTTGCTTTAGAATACTTTCCCATTTTTAGTTATTAAATTATTCATAATAATTCCACATACATAAAAACCAGTCAGAGCTTCGATCACACCATTGTAGCCAACTTCATGCCCATCATCCTGACATATCTAACCCTGCCCTGCAGATAACACTCTGGCAAGAATACAACAAAACTCAATTTTCATCATTCTTAACCATAAAGCAAATTAAAAACTGTATCTTGCTTTTTTTTAAAAAAAGAGCAATCTCCCACAGAGCCTTTGAAAGCTTGTTCACAGTCTTTATCATTCTTGAAATAAATTCAGCACTAGCTCTGCAAAAATATTCAAAAGCAAAAGGCCATAAAGTTCTCCAGGCTTCAGAAAAATGATGAGGAAGTTAACGGGAAAGGACATAAAAAGGTTTTTGCACAAAAGTGAGACATTGCCTGCATTTTACCTGAAAGTCTTTTCCCCCCCTTGGTCTAAAACTGTTTTTGAGAGGTTAAACTTTATTTTATTCAAAGGTTATTCTTAAAATATGTATTTTCCTTTTCACTATCAAAAAATTCTAGCTTGCTTCATATTTATTTGTGATGGCTAGTCATCCATATAGAATATTAGTTTATAAATATTATGTTTCTTAAAATTTAGAAGTAATAATAGAATATAAATAACAGGAGAGGCATGTTATAGGTCCAGCTATTACAGACTGTCATCTGATGGGACCCAGGAAGAGACAATTTTCTGTTGTGGGGCCCACCCTTTGGAATATCAATCTTTCCCCCCATCCCCAAATTTAGATTGGCACTTCTTTCTGACCTTTAGGAACAGCTTAAGACTTGGTTTTGCCATTTTGCTTAGGGTTCTGGTAATGGTGTGAGCCTGCTAAATTAGGGGGTCCCTAATCCCCGGTCCATGGCCTGTTAGGAACCAGGCTGCACATCTGGAGGTAAGTGGCAGATGAGTGAACAAAACTTCATCTGTATTTGCAGCCACTCCCCAGCAGTAGCATCACTGCCTCAGCTCCACCTCAGATCATCAGACATTAGATTCTCAGAGGAGTCCTGCAAACCCTACCATAAATTGCGTATGTGAAGGATCTGGTTGTGCGTTCCCTCCAGTCTGTGTAAAAATTATCTTCCACAAAACTGGTCTCTGGGGCCAAAAAGATTGGTGATCGCTGTGCTAAATGGTTATGTCATTAGTAAATTGGATTGCACTCTCTCAGTTTGTTTTTTATGGTTTTAATAGGTTTTGGTTTTAATCTGTTTTAATGGGTTTTGTCGTACGAGTTCGTATTTTTTTGTGATTTAACTTTATGAGCCAGAAGCACATATGTGATATACGCAACTCTGTAAACTGAACAAATTAAGAAATAAAAGAAATGGATTCTAAAGAAATATTGCTCCAAGCTATACCTTTAAAATGCTGCTACTGTCCAACCAGCATCCTGTCCAACCAATTGCATTTTCCCAATCAGAATTAAGTCCTCCCAATTCATTTGTCTTGGAAACCTGTAGTTCACCATTCCCATGAAGTAATTCCTTCCATAAAGTAGTATCATAGGTACTGCTTTTCTGTGGCAGCTCCTAGGCTTGGTAATAATCTCCGGCTTGATGCCTCCACTTTTAATCTTCTAGAAACTACCAAAAATGGAGTTGTTTCAGAGAGTGATAAGGGGTGTCTAGAATGGATGCATTTTGCTGTGCCTTTTTGTTTTTATGATTATTAATTTATTAAATTTATAATAATTTTAATTTTTAGCATGAATTTGTTTCATTAATATAACTTGCTGAGTCTTGAGATTGTGACTGAGATAAAGCCAATAAATTAAGAAGCTTCTTCATAGATGTTTTTTTAAAAAAGACTTATAAACACTAGTGGAAATTTTCCATGGAAATTTTATATATCACATTGTCAGCTCTCACTGCAGTTTGTAGCAAATTTCTTTTAAATTTCCAATTGGAAGCAGGATTATTGATTTATATCCCTTCTTTCTATACCATATTCAGGGTAATCACAAGGTCTTAGGGAAGGACAAGTAAGATCAACTTTTGTTCATTGACTTGCCTTGAAAAGAAACTTTAATCAATAGCTTGGTGGGAAAATTATATATTCCTCAAAGATTTGCAGGTTCAAAGACCTTGCATTTATATTGAAAAGGAAGAAGTGAGCCAGGAAGTATATTAACATGCCTCTGAATTGCAAGAATCCGTTTAGCACTCTCTGAGAGGCCCCATTTTAACATTTTAAAGGAAATCTTCCTTCAGAGAGTACATGTCAACAGCCTGTGGTAAAAATACAGCAAATGGAGTTGAAATGAAAAGTGAATAGGATTACCCCTTTCATCCAACTTTTTTTTCTTAACTACTCTGCCTCTCTATGTATTTTGCTCTGGCTGTTCTCGGCAAAAGCCTACACTTACCCCTTGCTGAGGCATGTTAGAATTAGGCAATTGTTCAAATGGTTGCCTACTCTTCTTCTGGAAGTAGAAATCAACAGGTGAAAAACAAACTAGGAGGTTTGGCACAGGACTGATCAAAAAGCAACAATGCATCAGACCACACCAGTGAAAAATATATAAGCAAAGCAGAAGGTATTCTACCTCTGAAGGTGTGTGTGTGTGTGTGTGTGTGTGTGTGTGTGTGTGTGTGCAGATAGGAGGGGAGGGGAGGGGAGGAGAGGAGAGGGGGAGGGGGAGAGAAACCAAGAAGAAGGAAAGTTAACATTGAAACCACAACACAAATTTACCTTCACGTGGATAGCCTGACTTTTTCAGAAAGCTTAATTAATTCACCATCCTGTGCAAAATATGAGGAACTGAGTTTAATTTCACAATATCTTCATGTGGTTTTCTTCTTCTGGGTTGGCCACATTACTCATTTCCACTTTTGCAAATACTGGTTTAGACCATTCTATTAATACCTTGTTTTGCTGGATTTAGCCCTTTATGTGTTGGTGGGGTAGGAGGAAAAGAAATCATTCTGTCCCTATTTCTGATTCTAAAATGTTGACGGACATGTAGATTGCATTCTGCCGTGGTTAACATTTGCAGTAGAAAAGCATAATGGCTTATTGAAATGCAGGAATTGCTTTGTTTTTGCAGCACCTCTTATATCAGAGGCCATATCTGATCTGACATTGCATTAGCTCATCTTGCCTTGGAGTTTTGCAATGGGCACTACTACAAGTAGTAGCCAAACGATGACATAAACAAAAATCACAGGTGAAAGCAGGAACTATTCCTTGAATCATTAGGACTTCAAATAATGACACCATGTTGTTCTTTTACCAGAAGCTATACTTGCATATTAGGGTCATTATAGCATCATACGCTTGTCACTGAGTTTTATCTCTTCCTGTGGCTGCTTTCCAATTTCTCAATTTCTTTTCTGGCATTGCAATAACGAAAACCTTAAATGTTGTTAAGATTTTATTATGGGTTTTTTTGTTGTTGTTCAGCATTAGTCACTTTTAACCTTCTCTGAGAAGTTTTGTTCACTTGCAATCTATTTGGAAAATGAAGAAATACAAAAATAAATGTTAGCAAGCCTTAAAAAAATTATATGAATTATGGCTAGCATGGACTATGAACCCTGGCAAAGAAAATTAAAGAAGTATTCAGTTCTGTTCAATTATTTTCCAAACTTTCAATTTGTTGATCTACCAATCAATCAATCAATCAATCAATCAATCAATAAACAAATAAATAAATCTGAAAGACTTATTATTACCCCAATTCTTTCCCTCTTTTACCACACTACACTTAAATGATAGTGTCAGGAAACTCATTTATAATCTGCTTTGAGATCATTTTAGTGGGATGGGGGCATTTTAAATAAATACATATGTGCATACACTCATTTGTACATCACTAAAACTAAATTAAAGTTAAAGCTAAATTCCATGAGCTATGTTCCTTGAGGAGTTCACTGCAGCTAGAAAATAATTAATCTTTCAGCCAGCACTAGCTATTATACATGAAATGAAAGCAAATTAGTTAAGGAAAAAATGTGTGTGGAATTAAACTTATTTCTCATTCAGTACACAAAGTGATCAAGAAAAAAGAAGGGAGGGAGGAAGAAAAGATTATTTAAGGATGAAAACCATTGTTAGAAGTTATATTTTATGGATTTTTCTGTAAATAAAGAAGAAATACTAATCAGTTTGTCTTATGTTAGAAATTGATTGAGCAGATATTCCTGCTTTAAGATGCTTCAAAAATCAAATATTCGTTATTTAGAAAGCAAAAACGTAAAAAAGAAAATAGCTTTTTTTTGTAGAGCTTCTATAGAACTTTCAATGTAATTTCAATAGGCAAACTCAATTATACATTTTTATCCTGATGACTGATAAGTGCTTTCCAGAAGATGTTTGCAAAGAATCATTATTCACTGTATGTTCTAGTGCAGAGATTCTTAACATTTTTATGTCATGCAGCTCTTTGAAATTCCAATGAAACCTAAGGACTTTCTCAGAAAAAAATGTATTTAAATGCATAAATAAAATATATAACTATAGCAATAGCAATATCACTTGACTTATATACCGCTTCATAGTGCTTTTACAGCCCTCTCTAAATGGTTATACAAAGTCAGCGTAATTGCTCCCAACAATCTGGGTTTTACCGACCCTGGAAGGATGGAAGGCTGAGTCAATCTTGAACTATAGATTGTATTAAACACAATTATCAATACGTGTATGTGTACATATATACTGTATTGATAAGTGTGTGTGTGTGTGTGTGTGTGTGTGTGTGTGTGTGTGTGGTCAATTAGTTAAACATTGGTTAAAAATTATAGTTTAAAAAAATCGTCACTGTGATGGTTGTTGTTTAGCTTGAGTAAGAAAATTAAATTGTGGAGTAGTCTTTGACAAAGCAATGCACAAGTCATGTAGGATATCAAATCAATTTCAAATTTTTTTTTTGTTTTAATGGTCACAAGTGTAAAAAATCTTGATTTACAAAGAGATGTTGTTGTAAATGGAATTTTTTTTAAATTGAGTCTATAGACCATAAATTGCTTTGCCTACATTCATTGTTGAATGAAAAGTTAAATGTCAGTTAGAAGTTAGCAAGAATCCATCCAAGTTCATGACCCTGTCACTCCCTCATATAGCTCCACCCACTGTATATATAAGGAGCCACCTTCACCCTTTTCCTTGCTTCTATCTGTGAATATTCAGTGAATATAGAATGCCTATTGTAAATAAAAGGAAGTATATTTAAACCTTTAACTCTTACTATTATTATTGAGTCTGATCCTAAAAATATTGCAACAGACCCCTCCTGAAAATTATCCACAGACCCCAGGTTAAGAGCCCCTATTCTAGTGAAAGGGAGAAGTATGTCTGTCCAGATTCAGTAAATGCTGAAAAAATAACTAACTTGAGGCCTATTCCAAAGTACAACTCACTTCATCTATTATGACTTTCTTTCTGTAGGAATAATGCTTCCATTTAGCTAAGTTTTCGCCTATAGGCTGCCTGTAACTATATTGTATAAATTGGTGTATTTGCTGCCATGGTGGCTACAAATTTATAAAAAAAATAAATGATTAAGCAACATACAGTCCTTTTATTCTTTATCCTGAAGACCATAAAAGTCTACCATATGAAAAGTTTTTCTTGTTCCCTGTTGCAAAACTGTAAAAATAACATAAAAATATAAACCACCAATTATTATTGTAAGATGCAGGCCCTACATCAGCACCAGTGGTGGGTTCCTCCCGATTCAGCCCAGTTCGGCCGAGCCAGTAGCAGTGACGATATGACGTCACCGAACCGGTTCTCTTTGTTCAGGAGCTGGGCCCTCCTGCCCCACCCGCATTTTTCTTACCTTTTATTTGGCCCCGCCCCCAATCTATTCACTGCCTCCCGAGTCCCAGCTGATCGGCTAGAAGGAAAAAAACTGTTTAAACTCTTGCTGCGGGGCTTCAAAGGGCCGCCCTATAGCTGATCAGTTTTAAAAGGCAGTGTGGTGGTAGACCGTTGCCTCTAAAAACAAATGAGTAGACCGGTGCCTCCAAAAACAAATGAGTAGACCGGTGCCTCCAAAAACAAATGTGTAGACCAGAACGCTCCAATAACAAATGAGTAGACCAGTACAGCTCTGCAAGCAGTTAAAAGCCTGGTAGACCAATACCTCTGCTAAATCCTAAAGAATTGTCACATGACCATCAAACCATGCCCACAAAACAAGCCACACTCACAGAACCAGTAATAAAAAAATTTAGAACCCACCCCTGATCAGCACCAAGTGTTTTTAGGGACCTGTCAAAACTTCAGGACCTTATGAAGATCCCCTACAAATTCCTGCAGCAACTTTCAGGCTCAGAATTCAGAGCAGCATCTCTTGCTATTAGTTTGATTACTTGAAATACCTCCAATGGAACATCCCCCTTCAGTATTGTGAGGAAATGAAATGGGATTTTTTTCAGACACTTGCTATTGTATGTATATGTATATGTATATGTATATGTATATGTATATGTATATGTATATGTATATGTATATGTATATTTTCTGCCTTGAATTACTTATAATACATATAATATATAATAAAATAGAATGGTGTGATGGCCTAGTGGTGAAGACACTCACCTCCCACTCAGAAGGTTGAGTGTTCAATCCTAGGGTAGTGGCTGATCTTTCTCAGGCAACGAAGAAAAAATATCTGCTGCAAACTCTGTGTGACGTCAGGAAGGGCATCCAGCCAGTAAATGCTCAGTTCCATCTAGTCACCCCGACTCTACATTGAATTAAGGGATTAAAGGGGGATTTTTAAATATATAATAAAAAAACAAATGCAGGATAAAAATCTAAAAAACCCAAGTGAAGTGGCTTATTTTAAAACAATCTAAAATAAAGAATGTTAAGTAAACAAGTTATTTAAATAAAATAGTGTTTAGAAGATCACTAAAAATAGAACTTTCAGGAAACGTTGCTAATTGGGAAATTCCAGTATAGGCAGGTGAGTCTTTAAAAGTACATTTTTGTTGTTGTTAGTTGCGAAGTCATGTCTGATCCATCGTGACCCCATGGACAATGTTTCTCCAGGCCTTCCTGTCCTCTACCATCCTCTGGAGTCCATTTAAGCTCACGACTACTGCTTCAGTGACTCCATCCAGCCACCTCATTCTCTGTCGTCCCCTTCTTTTGCTTAAAAGATGTCAAAGGAAAAGTCATCCAAAATCAGAAAGATCATCATGAAAGTCTGCCAAAAAGCAATTGCAAGCTGTTGCTTGCAGAACCTCCCCCAGAGATTCTAAGTGCGTGGAGGATGATGCAATGTGATTCTGTCAGGTTTGAACTTAAATGTTGCTCATAAGTTTTTATACTTTGTAATATATTTTACACTATTTTAAATCCAGAAGTAAGAGAATGACATCCAATTCAGCATAGCAGTCATGTTTGTGCTCTATGACCCCATGTTTGTGTGTATTTCACCCGCCCCTCCAGTTCATAACCTAGTAATTGTATTCTACGTCGCATATAATTTTTAAACCAATTCAAGAGCTACCCCATATAGCATGTGTTATAATAACCTCATCCTGAAGTTACCTGTGATGACCTGGGGCGTGGCATGAAAGCAGCACAGCCAAAGAACAGGTCTATCTCCCCTTCATTGCTCCAACTTTGCCCCCAAACGCTCCCATGTTTACTACAAATCCTGGAATAAAGCTCTCACATGCACCTTCAACAGCCTCTGGCTGCAAGTAGTCCAGTAAGCAAGATTCGCAAGCAGTAACCAAGGCAAGAAGTCCAGTTAGCAAGGTTAGCAAAACAGTAACCAGAGCCAGAATTTCAGCGAAACAGGCAAACCAGGCAAGCCCCACAAGACAGAGCATAGTAATCTCCAGATGTTGGCAAGTACATATGAGGCTCCACAGATTCAATGCTTGTTCCCAACAAATGCCCCTCCCACCAGCATCTCCTTACATCTCAGTCCCCAGGTGTGTGAGGGGGGACAGGGTACTCTCCTCCCTTGTAGCTGGCTCGTAATCTGCGTTGTTCTCGCCTTATTTATTTATTTATTTATTTATTTATTTATTTATTTATTTATTTATTCAACTTGTATGCCGCCTTTCTCCGAAGACTCAAGGCGGCTTACAATGCATTTAAAAACCATATATAAAAACATTAAAAATTAAAACATTAAAAACAATTAAAACCCATTCACACCATTCATGGCCAGATCTCGCCAGATCACAACAGCGAGATCAACAGCCCCAGGCCTGCCGGAAAAGCCAGGTCTTCACCGCTTTTCGGAAGGCCAATAGGGTGGGGATGGTCCGGATCTCAGGAGGTAACTGGTTCCAGAGAGCTGGGGCAGGCACAGAGAAAGCCCTCCCCCGCGGGCCCACCAGCCGGCACTGTTTAGCTGACGGGACCCGGAGGAGACCAACTCTGTGGGATCTTACTGGTCTCTGGGAGTTATGCGGTCTCGAGAAGGCGGTCTCGAAGATAACCTGGCCCTGAGCCATGTAGGGCTTTAAAGGTAATAACCAACACCTTGAATTGTGACCGGAGACCAATAGGGAGCCAGCGCACTCGCAGAGAATTGGTGTAATGTGGGTGTACCTAGGTGCACCCACGACAGCTCACGCGGCTGCATTCTGGCCTTCTCTCTTCCCTTTGTGCTCTAGGATCAGGAGGAGGTGGTCCTTGCTCATCGCCTGAGCTCTGTCTCTCATGTTCATCTTGCCCCCGTTCCTCCCTGTCTACAAGCTGTTCTAATCCTGAAATGCCTTGGCCTGACTGGCTCTGTCCTTCCCTAGTTTCCTCCAAAGGCAATTGAGCCACCCCCTTGATCTCTGTTGGCTCCTGTTCCAGCTCATCTTCCCCCACAAATTCAGGTTTGGGGGGGGGCATGACATTACCATGCATAGATCACAATGCCTAAATTGTTCATGTTTAGTAATGGGTTTGAATGAAAAAGTAGCCTATATTAGCAATGGGCACACCTAGCCCCCAAGATTATTTGGATCTTCAGTGATGGATCCAGAATGGATTCAGGAACATCTTTAAATTATGAAGGAGTACAACCTTATTCAAAGCAGACAATTTTAGCCTTGATTCATCAGGAAGCACAAGGTCAATTCTGCCCCATAACCAGGCCAGAATCCATGGATCCATATGGATCTAGATGATCTGTATCAATCTCACCACCTAAGAAGAAAATATGTTATTGGCAAAAATTACTATAATCTATTATCTGCAAGATACTTTGGTCATATCTCAGATTTTTTAAGTGATACTGAACAACCTCACACATTTTGTTTATGTCCAAATGACTACAAGCTTCTCTATTTGTATATGGTGGCTGAATGAAGTTAGACTGGTCATTTTTCAGGAGCCATGATGTTTTGTAAGTGATTATAAAAAGCTAATCTATAGTAAATAGAGTAGCCAGGACCAGGTTCTTCTTAGTTTTTTAATCATTCCTTGATTAAAAAGCTGGTAGAGCAGCAAATCTGAAATCTTGAAGCAGCCCATGTTCATTACTTTCAGTAGAAGACAATCACCATCATGGAAGAATTTTCATTGAAATTATAGAGACAGAGTTAAATCTATCTATCCCTGCATTCCTCCTTCTCTCCCAATAAGGACACTGCTGTTTTTTAAAATTGCTAAGGATGTTAAATGTACTCATGCATTTAATTTATCATGAAGTCTAACTGCTATTTTCCTTCAAAATTGTCTGAATTATAGTAATATCTGGAATAGTAATATTCTCCAGATATAAAAACTGGAGACAAACAAACGATTGTAGAATCATAGGTATATTCAGACTTTGAAAGACTATGGCAATGTGATAACTGAATTCTAAGAAACTCTAGAATATCTGATTAGTCATTTGAGTAAAGTATGAATGTATTCATTACCACTGATTAGATTATAATTCTACATCACCAGACATTCTTTTTCAGCAACACTTTTAAAATGTTACTATTTAATGTTTTGGATGCAGGTCAACATGGAATGACAACAACATAAGCAGCTGGCCTTTTGAGGGTTTTTTTGTATCCTGATTATTTATTGCTAAGTTAAATAATACAGTCAATTTACCAGAATAAAATCCCCTTCACAGTGTCCTTGCTGCATTTTCACATGTAAAGCAATTTAAAATAGGAATTGATTAACTTAATTTCTGGCACTCAAGATAAAAATAAAATTGCTTTGACTTGTGATACATTCAGTTATATCTGGTAAAACTGATGTTGTAATTATCTTGACACAGCACTGTCACATAACCTGTATCTACATTCTTCCTAAATTACAGGATTGTTAAAAGGGCTCTCCATAATTTTCTCTTTTTAAAACAGTGTTGTTTCTATAAGTTGATATTTTATGTTTCCAATCATTAGGATTGTATTTCATGCAATTCCTCCCCACAGCTGCTAATCATGGTGGTAGAGATGGGAGTGCTTCTGAGAGAAATGAACAAAGAACGTGAAGAATATATATTCCCAACAAGGTCACCATGGAAGTCATCCCAGCTGTCCAGCTAAAGCAAGCAGGCAGCTTTACTGGATTGCAGCAATGGAGGAAGATATTGGGTGCTGTTGATCCCCTTACTGGCAAAGTAAAGGTACCATTTCATGCTGCATGGGAGAATGCAATGACAGAAGATTCCTGTATTTTATCCCAAGCCCTCAGAAATAAATAGGTGAAATAACAGGTTTGATAATACAGTATAGACAATACAGCCTGTAGAGACAATGTGTAGATGATGGGGCCTCAGGTCAGATGACACTGAACAAGCTACATAATACTAGCGTTTGTTGACATTGTCAGGGAGCGGGGGAAATCTGAAGCTACAAAAACAGAATAGCAGTAAAAATATGGTATATAAGAAGTATGAAACACAGAATTTAAGAAGAAAGCTCATTACTCCAAATAGCAGTTCCACCTTAGGTAAAGATAAAGATTCCCCTCACACATATGTGCTAGTCGTTCCCGACTCTAGGGGGTGGTGCTCATCTCCATTTCAAAGCCAAAGAGCCAGCGCTGTCCGAAGACATCCCCTTGGTTATGTTGCCAGCATGACTAAACGTCAAGGGCGCACGGAACACTGTTACCTTCCCACCAAAGGTAGTCCCTATTTTTCTACTTGCATTTTTTATGTGCTTTCGAACTGCTAGGTTGGCAGAAGTTGGGACAAGTAATGGGAGCTCACCCCATTATGCAGCACTAGGGATTCGAACCGCTGAACTGCTGACCTTTCAATCGACAAGCTCAGCATCTTAGCCACTGAGCCACGACGTCCCTAGTTCCATCTCGCAGGAATCCAATTTCAACTTGTTCCTTTCCTTCTGGGCTCTTTAAGTCAGGATTTTCTATCATATCAGTGGCTAGGCTCAAAAATTTAAATTGCTTCAAAATACAATGTGAAAAAAAGTAGTGCAAAATCAGAACACTACAAACGTACCTTCGAAATAGAATAGTCCCAAAGTGGCTGACTAACATCTATAAATTTAACTGGCACAATTTTCATGTACTTTTCCATGGTGGAATTAGCAATACTGCTTATTCAAAGCTAAATCATTGAACAAAGAGAGGTGTTGAAGAGAAGCATCCATTGCTTTCAAGTTTCTGTTTTGGTAATAAACAAGGACTGTTTCAATAGTAATAACTGCGAGAGGGATCTTGGAGTCCTAGTGGACAATCACTTAAATATGTTGCAGCTGCCAAAACAGCCAACGTAGTCCTAGGCAGCATTAATGGAGGGATGGAA